AATAATAATAATATCTATTTTTTTTTTATTAATTTATTTAATTATAATAAAAAATAATTAATAATAATAATATACTTTAAATGCTTAGAAATTTTCACATTTTTAGAATAAATTAGTAATATGTATCTAAGTTGTTTATTTAGAAATATTTATGAAAGTACTTGATAATATATTAACTAAAAAGTTAAAAACATATTATTAATTTTGTATATCTTCTTAAAATTTAAATGTTATCTTTAGTAAAAAAATAAAATAAAATAAATATAGATATATTTATATTTATTACAAAATTATTATTTATTATTAAAATTAACATTTATAGTATTTATGTTTATTATTTAAAGCCACTTTTATGATATCCATCAGTTAAAACTTCTAAAACATCTTTCAATATATTAATATAATAAATTTAGTAAAATTAATTAGCAATCATTTAATTAGTATTAATTTACTTTATTTTTATATTTAAAATAAAATATTTAAAAAATAAAATAAAAATAAAATACTTTCATAATGTAAACTAAAACATCTAATCCTATATCAGAAATTTCAGGCAAATGATGTTTAAAAGCCCAAACTACACAATCAATCATAGTTCTAAATTAATCAGTAGGGATATTAAAAAGAGCTATTTTTTTTAAAAAAAAATATTAATTAAAATAATAATAATATTATTTTTTACCTTCAATAGCATTCTAAACGACAGCCTTAAGTAATCTAAAGAAAGAAATTCTATGGTCAGGGAAAGAGTTAAAATCTTAAGTAATCATTGATAGAGTGGACATAAAGATTCCATTTAAAATTTCTTGAATAATCGGTTAAATATACTATGCTAGATTTTCGAATATAATTTGATATAAACTAAGTACTTCAGCTTCTTTACATTCTTACTAACAACTTATATAGTCACTAAGTAATTATTGTAAAGGATTTATTATACTAATTGTTATGTTTTCTGGTTAGAAATTAGTTACGTCACTTTTGCAGCTTTTGAAAAAGCAAATATAGAGTTTTAGTATTTCTTTTCTTATTGCCCTTTATTTCTTTACTGTATGGTAGTTCATTACGTGTTTTCCAATTTAAATGACTTATTTGTTTATGTTTTGACTATAGAATTAATAAATATTATTCATTCCTTAGTTTATTTATCCTTTTATTTAAAAAAATATTTAGTATTTTTTTTTTTTTTTTTATTTCTTTTTACCTAAAACAAATATATAATTATATCCTACAGTATAACATAATCTTTCGTTTATTTTTAAAAATTGGACTATGTTTTAAATGACTTCTTCTTGTTCTAGTATTTAGGTATTTGTTTATGCATTCATAATTATTTCATTCCATTAAAACATGTAAGTACTTAATGTATTATTTAAATAAACTACTATTTATTGCACATCTTTTTCTGCATTTATCATATTCCCAACTGCCTCGAAAAAAGTAAGACGAAATTAAGGTTCTAAAAGTGCGATTTTATCATCTATAGTCCTAATTAAATTTACAATATAAGGCTCTTATTCTTATTATTTAATTTGGTTTAGTTTCATGGATTTTTCATGTTAGATTTTTACAAATTATTCAGCACATTTTTAAGAAACAGTCAAAAATGTATTAACCGCCATTTCCTTTTGTTTTTTTTATATATTTTTGTTTATAAATATTTTAAATTTACCATAACTCCAGGAAATGTTTCTGCCATAAATTCAAAAAGCTTTTTTACTACAGTTTTTAAGAATGACCAGTTATTTCTTAAAAAGTTTGGATATTAGCTTACTACATACATTATATTAGAAGCTACTACAGCTTTATTTTCTTTTCCTTTTTTTAATTCTGTTAAATTCAATAAACCCTTTATTACAGAAATTAAAAAGGATCTCTCCTCATCTTCCCTTATTGATCCACTTATAGAACCTATAGCCCAACAAAGGCTATTTAAATTATCAAAGCTCCATTCTGATCCATCAATCTTTTAAAATTTATAATTTAAAATAAAAAAAGTTTATCATATTAATAAATTATTACTTATCTATCAAGTTTTTAAGAAAGTATTCTATTCATATCTTACCAATCTAATTTAGCTGTGTATTTATATTATTTTTTTTTAAAAAAAAATGGACTCAATATTATTTATATGGGTAATATTTACCTAAATTAATTAAAAGCTCTTTTAAAAGTTCATATAGAGAATTATTTTCAGTATCTTATAATTCTTCTTTACATGGATTTCCATTTTCATCAATAACAATTAACACTTCTTACGGTTTAGCCATTCTGGAAACAATAATAGTCCTAACCTATGTAAGAATTAAAGGATAAACATTTTTTTCTAAAGTAAAGTTAGTTTAATTCTACATTCCTATTAATAATAAAGGAGTTGTCGTATTATTTTGAATAGGCTTTCTTTTGAAAATTTAAGTAGTAAAACTATGCCAGAATTCGACACAAATTTTGAATATATTATCTTCTTCAATTTCGTTTATATTAACTAAATATTAAAGGCCTCTATGGATACTTTCGAGTATGTTTTCTCTTATGGCATTGTTTAGGTCGTATGTTTATTCATCGATCCATTATAAATGAGTATTAAAGAAACCTGTCAAAAATAAAGCTATAAATTAACATATATTGTCAAATACAGCTACTTATTAATGTTGTTTATTATTTTTCATTTTTTTTCCTTTTTAGTTTTGTTTAAAAATAAATAAATATTTAAATATATGTTTTTTTACTTTCAAATGCTAAACTTATATTAAAAGGTAATATATATTCAGAAACTTTTCTTATAAATTTAAAGTATAAGTCTAACATTTTTTCCTTCATTTTTATTGTGTCTTGAGCACTTTGACCTTATTCGATTTTTAATAAAACTATTTCAGTTAAACATTTTATTGATATATCTTTAAAGTCTTATTGTTCAACAAAAAGTAAAAATATGTCCACAATATCTGTGTCTATTATAAAATATAAAGGCATCCAACTTAAATAAACGTAAAACGTTTCCAAACAAGCTTTAATAAGAGAAGGCTTACAAACATTTGCATTTCTATTAAATAATTTTTGTTTAAATTATTTTATGTAGAACTTTAAGTTTTTTATTACCTAACTGCATTTGAAGCTATATAATAACATAGTTCGAAAATGTGTTTAAATTAATCATACATAGTTTATTTTAATAATTATATTTATTAAGATGTTATTTCATTTTTTGAATAATCAAATATTTCTTCACTTATTTTAATAGAAAATAAAAAAAAAATATATATTTAATATTTTTTATATATATTTTATTTTATATTTTTTAGAAAGATATATTTCTAAAATATTTTTTTTTTATTTTATTTTATTTTAAAAAAAATATATATTTTGAGAACCTTAACATTCTTAATAAATTCAGAGAGTTTTCACAAAGATTAGGATCTTATTTAGAAGCAACACATATATCCTAAATAAAATTCTTCCAGCTTCCATTTAATTCGAACTTAACAATTTTAATTAGTATTGAATTACATTTATGTAATATAGATGTTTCTTAATAGGTTAAATTACCTTTCTAACTAGTTAATACAATCTAATTAAGCATATAATTTTTAATGCTTTCTTTTAATTATTCAGGTAAAATGAGCCATTTTTACTAAAATAAATAAATATATTAAACATCTAATTTTTTATTTTTTTCCGTTTTTTACCTTTATTGTATCTTCCATTATTACTAAAGTCAGCAATTTTGTCTGATAGTTTTAAGACTTTTCTAATATAATATCACTATTTGCCCAAAATTCAGTTCTTTCTTTTAAGTCTTACCAGACTTAATTAGCCATATTCATCTTAATAAAAAATATTTAATATATAATATATAAAATGCTTATTAAAGTATTTACAATTTGTTTTCCTTTTTTTTTTTTTAATTTGATTTTTTTTTTTTTTGCATTAATGATTTTACCTTTTCATTATTTCCGGATTACAAAAATTAAGATATTTAATCTAGTATCAAAACCTTTTTTTCATCAAATTTTTAAGATTAATCAAATAAGCATTATATTTCAGGAGGATAATTTTTATTTGTTTACATTTTTTTTTGTATTTTTTTTATTATTTTATTTTTTAATTTTTTTATAAAAATGATTATTTTTTTTATTATATTTTTTTTTATTTTTATCTTTTATTTTTTTTTGTTCTTTTAATTTTTGTTTAAAAAATAAAAAAATAAAATATACAAAGAAAAAAAAAATTTAATTAAAATATAAATATATATATATATATGTCTAACAAAATATCTCTACATTTTTTTATAAAGTTGGTAGCTTTCATCATTCTAAAAATTATATTTAATTATTGAATTATATATTATGTAAATAAAAAATATATTATTAAATCATATAATAATAATATAATGTTTTATAAAACTTAAGATTTTATATATCTATATAATAATGCTATAACTTATTTTTTTCTATTACTTTAATTTTAGATCTTATGTATTAAAAATATTTATAGGTATACAATTATTAAAAATATATTTTATATTATTAAATTATATATTTATTTAAATATTCTTTATTTTATTATATAATTTAATATATAGAAATTTTAAATGTTGTATAAAAGTATATATTTTAAATAAATAAAAAATATATTAATTAAATAAATATTAAATTAATTAAAAATTTTTATTTTTATAATAATTTAATAAAATATATAAATAATAATTAATAAACAAATGAAATAATTAAAATAAAAATACAAAAATATTTAATAAAAATATACTTATTTTATAAAAATAAAATAAATAAAAAATGGGTAAAGTATTAGATTTTTTATAAAAATATATAAATTTAGTATCAATGTTAGTAATATTATTAATAATTTTCTTTTCTTTATATAATTGAATTGGCTTATTCGTTATTAAATCTTATTTTCCTTAACCTCTCTCTATTTTTGTAAAAATTAAAATAAAAAATATTCTATTTATTAATAAAAAATTTATTTTAAAATTATTAATTAAAAAAATAGTTGATATTATATTCTTTTTATTACATATGTTAATTGATATGCCGCTTTTTAGTTTTTCCTGGATCATTCTGGTTATTTAAAAAAATATGGAAAATAATTATAGCATTTAATTTGCTAATAAAACATTATTAAAAATTTAAATTTTATAAACCCTTTTATTATGCCTTGTGGATGATTGTGGATAAGATATTTGTAAAATATGTAATTAAGAAACTGCTCCTGAAATATTGAGTATAAAAAGAAGTATTTAAGGTCTTGTTGAAGTTTTTAAGTATATGAATGATATATATGGGTTTAGTTTAGAATAAAAAGAATTTTTCGGACTTTTAAAAAAAATTGTAACCCTTTTATAATAGTTTAAGTTTAAAGATTAACAAAATGATACTTATGTGCTTTGGGAATTGTTTGAATAGCCAGTAAAATTATAAGAATTAATTAAAAGTATAAAAATAAATAAGATTATAATAATATATATTCTTTTTATCAAATGCTTTATTTTTTTGTAATTTTTTTAAAAAACTCAATAAATTCCATAATTTTGCTTTTTAAAAAAATTACAGAAAAAATAAATAAAATAATTTTAAAATGCATTATATACATATTATTTTAAAATGTATATATTTTTTTATTAATTAGATAAATAAAATATTAGTTAGATAAATTAAATATAAATAATTTTAACTAAATTAGAAGTATTTATATTTATAATAAAATTAAAAATTAAATTATAATATAGTATACTTTGAATGATATTGTAGAATAAAAGCCATTTTTTACTAGAATCAAAAAATTATTTTAGAAAAATATTTTAGGAACATTAAATTAAGTATATATTTTTTATTTTATCCTTTAAGAAATAAAAAGTAATTATTTTAATATAGTTAAGAGCAGATATTTTAAATTAATTTTAAACAAAATAATTCTATTTACAAAGTTATGATGGTGTAAAGATTGATTGGTAAAATCACAAATAAAAAAAAAAAAACTTTTAAATTAAAAATAGTGTGTATATTTAATGCGAAAAATAATCTCCTTTGTAATTTTCGCCTGATTAAACCCTTGATGGAAACGAAAAACCCTTAATATAGGAAACTTCAAGTAAAGATAAAGTAATAATATATTGTAATCCAAACGGAGGTTATTACGAGAACTTATTTTATGATGTAAAAAATAAAAAAACTATATTAAAATTATAAATATAATAAATAGAGCGATTGGTTGGAGTTTTATTTAAAAAAAGGAATAAATTTACTAGTATGGAATTATAGAGGTTATGGAAATAGTTAAGGAATTCCAACTACATATGTAAATAATATTAATATAAATTATATATATTTATAAATCTAGAATATATTCAAAGACTGCGAATATATAGTAGATTATTTAAGAAAGAATTTTCAAATAAAAAATATAGGAATTCATGGCTAAAGTTTAGGTGGTTTAGTAGCTACATATACAGCTGATTAAAAAAAATTAAATTTTTTATGCGCTGATCGTACTTTTTCAAAATTTTCATAAGTAGCTTTACATTCTTTTGGTCCAAAAGCTTCTAAAGCCTTTTAATTATTAACAGATTGGGATTTTGACTCTTCCTATGCATATTTAAAGGCTAATTGTTATAAAATAATTACTGTAGACCCTAAAGATGAGGTATTGCCCTTCCTTTCGAGCCTTTTAAATGGCGTAGTATATAACTTTGGACTATTAAGTGCAAGATTTAATGATTTTCCAAGAAGTGCTTATTTAAAAAAAGATAAAGAAAGTTTTTGGAATATGGGATTTAATTTTTTGAAAAATAAGAAGGATTAATTAAATAAGGCTTTTGAAGAAAACGAAAATTAAATTTAAAAAATTAGTTAGAATTTTATGAGTTAAAATGATTTTTAATGTTTGTTTAATTCTTTATAAAGAATTATGGATATTTCTATTGAGATCGCGAAACATAGGTCAATTAATATAATAGAAGAATAGAAAAATAAGAGAAAAAAGACCTAAACTACTACCCATAAATCAACTTAAATTTAAAGGTCGAATTCTGATTCCAAAATAAATTGTAAATAATAAAATATTCAATAAACTAAAAATTAAAATGATAACAATAATAAAAATTAAGATTTAATTAAATAAAAATAAAATATAAAAGATAATAAAATATTACTTACTAATCATATTAAATAAGACAGGAAATTTTAAGATTTTATTCTGAATTGTTTTTCAATTTTTTATACTTTAGATTCAGCTGGACTTCATTTGAGTAATATTTTTACGTAATTTCCGGTTGATTAATAGTTTTGTGTATTCAAATAGTTTATTATTAATTTAGAATATTGGGGATCAATTAAACCTTAAAAATACATTCTTAAAAACAATTTGAATATTTGTGGTTATAAGAAATATGCTTAGGTTATTTTTTTCTATTTTTTTTTTCTTTTTCAGATAAATATATAGTTTTTTTTTTAAATATAAATATAGATTAAATTAAAAGATTTCATATATTAACTTAATTAATTAAAAAATAATGAAAAAGTTTCATTTGGACATCATGATTTCGAAAAAAACCTTAATTATGATTTTAAAATTATAATTGATAAATTCTAACTTATTCTTGAGAAAATTACTAGATAAACGTAAAATACTTAAATTGAAAACGATATTTCTTTAAATTCTAAACAAGACATTAGTATAATTACTTAATAAGAAATTAGTACATTGGCTATTGATATGAATAATACAAATGAAAGTTTCGACATTTAAATTGATAATACTAATAAAAATAACATTTTGTAAAAATAAATGGGTTTTATTTTACCTTTAGAATGTGGTCATAATGGATATTATTCATAAATTGAATGTAAAATTTACGAATATCATTTAAAATAAGCAGGATTTTGAAATAGTAACTTTTTATTTTTATGTATTTTTTTTTTTTTTATTAAATTTTTTTTTTTTATTTATTTATATTAAATATAAAACTTTTAATTACATTAAAATAAATATATAATAATATATTAATAAAATTAATTTGTTTGTATTGTTTAATTTCCTGTTTTTATTATCATCTTAAAAATAATATAGTTTTCTTTTATATATAAGAATGTTATTTATTTTTATTATTTATAAGATTTTTATTATTTGTTAAAGGTGAATTAAATTATAGCATTTTCTATTTATTTATATTTTAAATATATATATATATATAAATAAAAAATATTATTGTATTACCTTTACACCATGAAAACTTTAAGAATTGCTAGAAGTTACTTAATTAATAGTAATATCTTTTAACGGAGTTCTAATTTAATGAGAGCCTTGCTAAATATAAGAATATAAACGAGCATTATTATATAGAGTTTTCTCAATATCTATATTATACTTAGGTATGCTATACTATTTCTCTTTTTCTTAATCCATTTCTAAGTTTTTTAAAGGGTCTTTATTTTCTTTATTATTGTCTTATTATTATTATTATTATTCTTATTCTAATTCATGTTCTTATTCATATTTTTCTTAATCTTCTTCTATGAATGAATCTTCGAATGATTGCTCATTAATGTTAATATTTTCTAAGTTTGAATAAAAATTATTATTGTATTTATTATTTATTATGAGGTTGTCGTAAAATTAGTTTCCTTAAGCATCAAAATATACCTCGTAGGGAGATTACAGGTTGAATTTATGAATTTTTTTTCGGTTAGAACTTTAATAGTTGGACTCGACTGTTGATTTTAGGTGATTATTAAATGGAGATTCTTTAATTTTTTAAGGAGTTTTTTAAAAATCGTTATTAAAAGCATCATATATTTATTTCAAAGTTATATTTGTTTCTTCTCTTGACATTTTTTTTTTTTTATCTTTTTTTTGAAGTTTAATTTTTTATATTTAATTTTAAATTTAAATTTTTTTTTTTTTTTGGAATTATCATATAATATAAATCAATGCAAAATTTAACAGAAATTTCATAAAATTTTATTTAATTTTATATATATTAATTATTCCTTTAATTGAATAATACATATATAGATATGTATATTTTTTTTATTAAAAAATAATATATATTTATAATTAATATTATAATAATATATTATTAAAAATATTTTAATATAAAATTATAATTTTTGATATTAATTGTTAAAATTAAATAAATTATTAAATATTATAATATTATTACATATAAATTAAAATTTATTTATTTATATTAAAAAGAATAAAAATATATTTGAAAATTTTAAATTATTTTTATTAAAAATATATATATATAATATGATGTTTTGACTTTTACCATCAAAAATTAATCAAATTAATTTATTTAAAAATATATTATTATAAAGAATAAAGGGCATTTATTTATTTTGTAAAATAATATAATATTTATAACGTTTAAATATATAAATATTTTTATAATTTATAAACAGCATTTTTAACTTAAATTGAATAAAAGAATGGAATAGGAAACTTATTTACATAATTAAGAAATTTTAAATAATCAAACAGAAGATTAAAATATAATTAAAATAATGTAAAATACAATCCAAGAAGACTAAAATTCAAAAATAATAGATTAAAATATAAATAATAGTCAAACATAAAATTAATAAAATAATGAAAATAAAAAATCACCAACTGAAGATATAAATTATTATTAAACAGAATTAGATTAAAACTTAAAAAATAAAATTTATATGTATAATTCATTCTAAAATTCTTCAAATAATAGTTAAAAATTTCTAACTTAAAAAAGTTAATAAAACTGTAAAAAATTATTATTAAACTAAATAAATTACTTAAATTAATAATTAAAAAATTAAGAAGAAAGTTTTTAAACAAAAAATCCTTTATTGAGATAAGTATCGTAAACTAGATGTAAAAAAGTTTCAAGTTTAGACAATTAATATTATAAAGATGAGGAACATTATAATTATGTGAAATAAAGAATGGAGGAAAATTAAAAAATTTAATAAAAAAATTTAAAAAATATGTAAGCTATGTAAGAAAAATAATATAAGTATTTATTTGAATTGGAATAATTAGAAAAATAACAAAGAAAATAAGAAATTGTATAAAAACTATTCATTTTTAAAGATAAATATAAAAAAGGACAATAAAATTCTGAATATTTTAAATAACCTGCTTAATAAGAAATTATTGATAAATTTTATTAAGAAAAACCTTTGTTTTTGAAGTTTTAAGAATAGTTTTAAGAAAAAAAGATGAAAGAATATGAAGAATATAGAAAAAAAGTAAAAAAAATGATTGAAGAAAAAAATAATGTTCAAATTAATCAAATTAAATTACATGAATAGGCGTATTTGTAAAATTTGCAAGCCAGATTGAATAAACGTAAAAAAATAAAATATTCTAAATGTTAATAAATTAAAATATAAAAAAGCTAAAAGTTAAAATGAATATATGTTTTTTTATAAAAAACCTGAATATGAATCAAAGTCTTATTTACTATGTTTAAAAGAAAAAATGGAAGAATAAAGAAAAGAAAATGAAAGAGAATAATAAAAAAAAGAAAGAAATTTAAGAAAATAGTAATTTAGTAAAATTATAAAAGAAAAATTCATTCCGAAAATTACAAAAAAGAATTAAGAAAAATAAGAATAAAGTTTAAAAACCTTGAAAAAATCTAAAAACGAAATATATTTTTAAGGAAATTAATATATGATTTAATCAAAATAATTAATTAAAAAAAATAATTAAACTACTGATATTTCCTAAATATAAGACTAAAAATTTGAAAAATCAGGAAAAATCCCAAAATAAATAAAGTTAGAAAGAATCAAAAGTGAAGAATTAATAAATAAATAATAATTTATAAAACTTAATAAAAACATTAAAAAAGCAAGTAATTAAGATGTAGATGGAAAAATTATTAATGTAACACCTATTACCAAATAAATAGAAAACAGAGCACTTAATTAATATTAATTATTGAAAATTATATAAAGTAATGATACCTAGAAACGTGAATAAATATCTGAAATATACTTTAAATTAATAAAGGCTAAATTATAAATATTATAGAAAGAAATTTGAAATTTTATATTTTTAAAATAATTTTATTTTTTATATATATAAAAAAAAATTATAATTTTTCATTTTTATAAAGTATCAATAATACTATCTATTACTCTCTAAGCATTGTATTAATATATTTTATAATTCTTTAAAATATTATATAATATTAAAATATTTTTAAACATTTTTACAATTTATTCTTTAACAAATTATAAAACATTTTGCTCTGGTTATTCTTTATATATATATATATATATATATATATATATATATATATTATTTTAACTTTAATAAAATAAATACCTTTTATAAGTTCATAGTAATCTATGCTTCTAAGTAATTATAGCTCTTAGTCTATTATTTTCTTAATTTTTAGAGTTTTTATTTATATGAAAAAATAAAATTTACATTTTCACTTTATATACCAAATTAAACACAATTATCTAATTACGTTGATTCGATTTTTTAAGAATCATATTCTAGTTTGTTTAAAAAATTTGATTATAATAATAGAATTGTTTAATTTTGTAAATAGTTTTAATATTTAAAAGCTTGAGGAAATTAAAACCTTTTACTATTTTTTTTCTTTAATAATGGAGAGGAAGGTTCTTTATTTTGCTTATTATTATTTTCAATTTCTTTTATTATTATAATAAATAATATTAAATGTTTATAATTATTATTCTAACCTTATTTTTTTGGTTTAAACTTTTAATATTAATATATAATTTTAGTTTAATTAATCAAATTTTCAAGTTAAAACTATTTTAATATTAATATATTGGATTTCATTATTAATTTTATTTTAGATTTTAATTTTTTACTTTTTATATATCTTTTAGAGAAATTTCTCTTAGTTTCTATTATTTTTTATTTTACTATTATAAACAAAAAGATATATTATTTTATTTGATTTTATATGCATAAATACAATGAAATTTTATGTGATTTATAATTAAAACTTTAAAACTCTTATGTTTATGTTTGGCATTTTTTCAGGTATATTATTTAAATATTTACTAACCTTATATTGTTCTTTAGTTAAAATGGAAAAAAAATAAAAAAATATTGTACTTATATTAACATTATTAATTCATTATCAGTTAAATATTAAACTATAATAGAAATAATTTCATCATTTTAAAATATTTATTCTATGTAAAGAGGATTTATTTTAGAATAAGTTTTATAGATATATTTCGGTCTATTTTGTAGTAAAACTTTCTTCAACATAAAATAAAATAATTAATTATTTATTAAATATTTATAAATCTTTTTGTAAATAATAAAAAATATAAAAATATTTCTTTCTTAAATTTTAAAAAATAATATTTTAGATTCTAATTAATATTTAAATATACATAAAAAAATAAAATTATATTTATTATAAATTATAATTAAATTTATAATTAATATTTATAATATATTTAATATATTTTTTTACATATATATATATATATATATATATATTAATATTATATATATATTTTTTTCATATTAAGTTAATATATTTAAACATAAAAAACTTATAATTATTAATACTTTTTCATATAATTTTTATTTTATCAATATTTTATGCATTTTTATTAATTAAGTATATATGTTTTTTAGACTCTTTTCCAACCCAATATCTATTCATTATCTTTATTTTCAATAATAAAGGAGCCACTATTTAATGTAAACTTAAGCTTTCTTGAAAAGCTTATATCTTCCCATTAACAATTATAATTTTGTTCCCCAATTTATATTTCATTATTATTAATATCTATTTTTAATATTACAGCAACATGTCCGTAAGGTGATGATTCAGTAATATTCCAAATTAATAAATCTCCTATTTAAGGAGGAGAAATAGAATTTCCATTTTCAAAAGATTAAAATTCATATGTTTCTGTTTTGTTTTATAAGCTGTTCACTTTTTAAATTTAATATATATCATTTGCTCCTCTTATATCTCCAAAGCTTACTTGTAAATTTATACTTAAAAACCTTCTTGCATATTCAACACATTAATATCTATTTTTTTTATTTTATTTTTTTAAATAAATAATTTTTTGACTTTATTCCTGTATAAACATGGATAATAACGTTTTCTACTTTTACATCCACATAATTTTTTAATTTTTCCATTTCTTCTGATGATGGATTTTCTTTTCCTTAATTTGAATATGCAAATATATCGTATGCACAACCTATGATTTCACCCCATTATTTATCTTTTTATTAGTTTTATAATTTATCTTCCTTTATAAAAATAATAATTTAAAAGCATTATAATATATTAAATTTACCTTAATTAATATTACAGAAGAAAAAATATAAGCAATAATAAAAATATGAAAGCAGAATAGTATTTAAGTTAATGTCTCATAGTAATTTATATTTTTTTATTATTAATTTAAATAAAGTTAATTTTTTTATTAATTCTTCTATTTGTTTTTCTTTCTTATAAAAAAATAAACAAAACAAAAATTAAAATAAAAAAAATATTAAATAATGATTTTTTTATTAATAGTAAAATAATGATTTAAAATATAGTATAATATACACATTTTAATAATAATTTAATTTTATATATATATTATACTAATTTTAAATTAAATAAAATGTTATTATTAAAAAAAATATTATTTTTAAAGAAAAATATGTTAACAGTATTTTTATGTTTATATGATATTTAAAATAAAGTATTTAATTTTCATTCAATTAATATTTTATATTTAAATGATACAGCTTTCATTTATTTATATTTCTTTTTTTAATTTTTATTTTAAATTTATATAAAATTTATTTAAAAAAAATTAAAATTAATTATAATGAACATATGTATGACAAATAGTTAATTTATTTTGTAAATTTACAATTTACAATTAGAATAAAATAATAATATTTTATGTTTAGAATTTATTTATATTTTAAATAATTTTTTTATTCTAATTATTATAAAATTTTAAAATTTTATCATGCAAATTTTTCTAAAATAATGCTCAAACTTCTTTACTATTGTTATAATTATTATTAATTAAATACAGTTGTTAAAGAAAAATAAAATTAATAATCTAATTAAAAAAAATATTATAATAAATAAGATAATATTTCACTTAATTTTAAAATATTATTTCTTTTTTTATATTTTATAAAAAAAAATATTAATTAAAAAATTATATGAAAACCAAATATAGAATATAAATTTGATTGGAGAAAATATATTGTCTTATGATATGTATTTAGAATATTTACAATTTTTTATCATTTATTTTTATTTTATATAAAGTTGAATAACTACTTTTATTATAAAAAATATTAATAAAAAAGTATAAATTATATTTATTATATGAGTTAATTTAAATTATAATATAATTTATGAATAAGTTTATTTAAATAAATTAATTTTTTTAATTATATATTTTATATATTTTTAATTTAAAATGTATTGTTTGATGTTTAAGTTTTTTATAATAAAAATTATTTAAAATATTATTATTTATCGAGTTATATATTAGATCTAATTATTTGTTTATTAAATATAAAATTATATTTTTATTATCGGTTAATGAAATGAAATTATAATATTTAATATAGCCTATAATTAGGTTAGTAAAATATAATATTTTAAAAATAAATATAATTTTATTATATAAACTTTTTAATAAATTTTTTATTTTAAAATATTTACAAAATATGACATATATGATAAAATTTATTAGCATAATTTAATTTTTTATTTTTTAAAAATTTAACAAAATAATATAATATATTTTCATGAATTTTATACTAAAAATAGTTTTTAGATAATAAATATAAGATTTTTGTTATAATAAATATATGTAAAAATTTATTAAACAAAATACAAAAATTTATTTTTTTATTTTTATTATTCAGAATATACAATTATGTTTTTTAAAAATATATCAATTAAAAATCTAATATATATATTAAAAAAATATATATATTAATAATAAAAGAGATATTATAAAAAAATTAACTTAAAACAAATGAATTCACTTTTATATTAATAATCCAAAACAATTTTATGGAAAAACTTGCTTTTAATGTTAAGGAAAAAATCAGAGATATTTAAAGAACTTTTAGTTTAGCTTATTATATCTTTAGTAATATATTTCTCAAGTAAAAATAATTAATAAAAAATAAATATTATATTAAAAAAAGAACCAAGTGCATAAAATGATTAATTTTCAAATTTTATATCAAAAACATCATCATTTATTTTACCAATTTATATTCCTTCTGTAACTATAGGTTTTAGTCGCAGACATTTAATTTCATTTGTTTATGAAAAATCAGAAAGATACAAAGAGAGTTAAAAAGTAAAAAAATAAAAATATAAATATCTATTATATTAAAATAAAATAAAATAAAAGATTATGGGATTAAGTTAATCAAGTTATTTGATAGGATGGTTATTAACATGTTATATAAACGCAATATTTATAGGATTAATGCCTTTATATTGTTTATATTAAGCTGGATATGATGAGGGGGAATTTAGAAATTTAGGTATAGCATTTATTTTATATTTAATTACTTGTGTACATTAAACATTTGCAATTTCAACGTTTTTCAATTCTCCTAAATTAGCTGGAGAAATAGGAACTTTTATTCTTTCTATAGTTTCTCTTTTATATTTTTATTTAACTTATGTACAAAAAGTAAATGATTATGTCTATTATTTAGTACTTTTGTTTCCTTAGGCGACTATATCTTTTTCTATTATGAAAAATAATGAAGGATTATTTTAAATGACAAAAAATGTAAAAAATATAAATATATGTACAAATATTCATTTAAAAATATTAAAAAATAGTATGATTAAAAAATAGCTTATTAAATGCTTTTTTTTAATTGTATTTTTTATTTGGTTCTTTATTTTTATTTAGATTAAATAATTCCAAATGAATACGGGATTAATAAAACACCGTTTTTTTTCTAAAAAAGTCTTATTGGAAAAAATTCATAGAAACATTAAATAAAAAATCTAATTTTGATGATAAATATCAAGCTTTAATTGAAGAAGAAGATAATGATAATAATTTATCCTCTTAAAATTAATAAAAGGCAAACATATAATTAGAAAAATTAAATAATATTGAAAAAATATATAAATATTGATAAAAATATTTAATAAAATAATAATAATAATAATAATAATAATAATAATAATAATAATAATAATACAATATTAATAATATGATATAAGTAATGCTTAATATCATGAATAAATATAAATCTGTTCTTAATTTCCTGTTTCTATTAAAATAAATAATTTAAAAAAGTCGTTTGGAAATACACACGCTGTAAATGGAATTTCATTAAATTTATATGAAAATTAAATTTTGTGTTTACTTGGGCATAATGGTGCTGGAAAAACTACTACCATTTCCCTTCTTACTGGCTTAATTTAAAAAACTGAAGGTAAAATTTCTTATTTCGAAAATGATCTTGAAGAAAATTTAGATTAAATTCGATAAAATATAGGGTTATGCACTCAAAAAGATGTTCTTTATGATGATTTAACGATTGAAGAACATTTAGAATTTATTGCAAGAATAAAAGGTATTTAATGTGGTAAAAAAATAAAGGAAGATGTTGAAAAAATAATAGTATTGGTAACATTATAAGATGAAAGAAAAAAATTGGCTAAAAACCTTAGTGGAGGAAATAAAAGGAAACTTAGTTTAGGAATGGCTCTTATTGGAGGTTCTCGTATAATTTTTTTGGATGAACCAACGTCTGGAATGGACACCATGTCTAGAATTAATATTTGGAAAATTTTAGAAAAAATTTAAAATAGGACTATTGTATTAACCACTCATCATCTAGAAGAAGCTGAAAAACTTGCTCATAGAATTGCCATTATGAATTTTGGAAAATTACTGATTTTAGGCTCATCGGAATACATAAAATAGAAATTTGGTGTAGGTTATAATTGTTTAGTTTAAATCAATTCTTAAAAAAAATACTGAGGCAATAAAAGAATAAATACATGAGATTATACAAAAGTAAACTTTTTCTATACAAATGGATTAACAAGTGAATAAAAACGCGCTAAAATTTCTACTTCCATTTATTAATTAATCATATTTTTCTTCTTTTTTCTGTCAATTGGAATAAATTCAAAATATCTAAATTTCCCTATAAATAAATTCGCTAGAAGATGCTTTTATAAGAATCGGAATGTAAAATAATTCGGAAACCCAAATTAACATTCAGCAATAAAATTTATAAAAAATAAATTTTTAATATATTTTCTTTGAATAATATAAAGCCCTTTTTATAAGATAATTTTATTTAACAATAAGGAATTGGGAGTCTATTTTGATGATTCTATTACCTATTTTATTTAATTGGCTAAGTGTATATATAGCAAAACATTTATTGGAGGACTTAGAACAAAGAATAGCTGAATTAACAAATGATTAAAATATAGATTTTAAGCCTATAATGTTTCCTTTAAAAATGTATTTTTTTTCTATATTTATTATTTAAGCTTATGCCATGAATTCATCCATATACATAAATACTCCTGTATTAGAAAGATAATATTAATTAAAATATGCTTTAAATGTGATGGGAGTACGGACTTTTCCTTATTGGTTGGGTACTTTTACTTGTGATTATATGTTCTATCTGTTTACTTTTTTAATTTTTTTTGTTTCTTTATATATTTCTAAAATAGCGTTTTTAGAGGCTTTTTATTTACCGATTTTTTTAATTTTGAGTGCTTTTGGATTATCTTTGATTTCTTTTGCTTATATGTGTGGTTTTTTTTTTTCTAATAGTAATTCTGCGTTCAAGACTTTTCCTATTTATCTTTTCTTTGTGTTTTATTCCTTTCCTAATATTATTATTTAGAATACTAGTTAATATAAGTTATTTAATAAAATTTTTTAAATTTTGGCATTCTGTTTTTCCCCACTTTTAACTTTAGAAAAAGGACTCACAAATCTTAGCAATTTTAACCCTTTTAAGGATTTGGATTAAAGATTATAAGAAATGGATATTAGGTCCAATTAACTTTTTGATTAGTGGAATTAATATGCTCTTTTGTTAGTTTTTTAATGCTTTTTCTTTCTTATGATTACTTTTTTGTGCGATAAATGGAAGTATTCACTGACTAAGTAAAACAATTAGGCTTTAATTACTAACTAATAGCCTGCTTAAGATCCTGGAGTTCTCCAAGAAGTTTTAAGAGTGGAAAATCAAGAAAATTAAGACTCTATAAAAGCCATTAAAATACATAAAGTTTATCCGAACGGATTCCATGCAGTTAAAGGCACTACCTTTGGGGTTTAAAAAGGATAGATTTTCGGATTATTGGGACCTAATGGTGCCGGAAAATCAACTACTTTTAATATTATAACTGCTAATATACCTAAATGTGCAGGTAAAGTATTTTTTAAAGACAAACAATTATAAGGAAATTAATATTTTGATGATGTTGGAGTATGTCCTTAAGGAAATTGTTTATGGGATTTTTTAAGTCCAGTAGAACATTTGAGACTTTTTGGAAGAATTAAAGGATTAGAAAAAGATAAATTAGAATAAATGGTGAATTATTATAATCTTTAACTAGATTTAGATAAGTTTTAGACTAAAAGTGCAAATTTATCGGGAGGAAATAAAAGAAAATTATGTGTAGCTAATGCCCTTATTGGATCGCCTTCATTGTTATTTTTAGATGAACCTTCTACTGGTATTTTTTTTATTTTATATATATATATATATATATATATATATATATATATATATTTTATTAGGATTAGATCCAATTGCTAAAAGATAATTGTGGAAATGTTTAAAAGAAGTTTTATTTTAAAAGTAATATAATTTCTAATTTTTTTATTTTTAATTCAATATTTTAATAGTTTTAATAGTCCTTTTTTTAATACATTTTTTTTATTAAATATAGATAAAGTTCTATAGTTTTAACTACTCATTCACTTTAGGAAGCTGAAGATTTATGTGATAAAATAAGTATTTAAGTAAACGGAGAATTCGTATGTTTAGATAGTTTATAGAATTTAAGAGATAAATACGGAAATGGATATAAAATATATATTAAATTAAATTAAAATAATTAATAAGATATAAGGAATAGTATAAATTAATTATATAATAATGCAAAAATAATGAATGAGAAAGACCCAAATTATTTAAATTGTTTAATTTTTTAAGTTTCTTCATAAAATTTTAGTTTTGCAAAAACTTTTTAATTACTTTTTAACGAATTAAAACTTAATTAAAAAATAGAAGATTTTTCAATTAGCTAGTCTACTTTAGAAGAAATTTTTGTTTATTTTTCTTAATTTTAATAGAATAATAATAATATTAATTGATTATATATATATTTTTTTAAAAACTTAAAATAATAAAATTAAAAATTATATATATTTAAATAAAAAAAAAAAAAATGAATATTTTATTTAAAATTATATAATTTATTTAACTTTTTAACTTCATACTTGGTTCAATGCATATAATTAATTCAACAGTTATAAAACAATGTAATAATAAACTCTTTTATTTCATAGAAATATAATTTTATTTTAAAAAAAAGTAATTCAATTCAGAAGTGCGGATTTCGGGTATATTCCATATGGAAAAATGATAGAAGGGAAAATAAGATTACCATTAAAAGAAAATCAATATGGTTGTGAAAATGGAAAATAGTAATAGAAATTAAAAAATTAATTTTTATTAATAAGAATTGGAAAATGCTCTGCTTGGTTAAAGGCCTTTAATGCTCAAAAATAAAATGTTAAAGCTTTAATAATTGTTGCAGAACATGATAATATAGAAGAAATACATTTAATAAATACAAACAAAAGTAATCAAAATAAAATAAATATTTATAAATATAAATATATATATATATATATATATATATATATATATAAAATATTTTAATATATATATATATATATATATATTACTATTAAAAAGATAATAGCATACATATTCCAGTATTATTGATAACATTAAGTAATGGAAACAGTATAATATAAGAAATTGAAGAAAAGTAAATTACTCTTAATACTACTATTTACTTTCCAAGAACCATTGAATAGAAAGGACCTGTATAAGTTGATTATTGGTTTGATGTTTTAGATTCTTCAAATTACAAATTTTTTTATTAATTTTATACATTATATTAATAATTAAGTAATTATTCAAATATTATTCAAAAATACATATTTTTTAAAAAAAAGATAATAAAATAAAATTTAAACCACATATAGCATTACATTATGATGAGGAATTTCTAAAAACAAATATTTAGAACGATTATAGTTTTAAAAATTGTGTAAGTCGAGGTAAATATTGCGCACATCCATTAATATATGAGACATTAAATATAATTGATAACACAAAAAAAACATAAGAAATTAACGGAAAATTAAATATTTAGACAGCTTTGGCTATATAATGTTTAAGTTATTAAATATAAAATTATATTTTATTTGATATTTTAATTTTATTCGATAAAAATTGTCTCAATATGGGTAAAAATATTTCATAAAATCCAGCTGAATGTCTGTTTGAATAAATTAAAATTGGATAATATTAATGTTTATTGGAAGTCTAAAATTGCGTAATTAATTCTTTTGAAAATGTAAGCGATTTTGAATCTGAAAATAAAATTTTAAAATAAGAATTTGAACTGTTTAGACTTGAAACCGTACAAATATGGCCTGAACTTTATGTAAATTAGAGACCTATTAGAGGCGATATTTTATCTTTGTAAGAAATTGAAAGCGCAGTTTGTAGTGGATTCAATTTTCCTATACCAGATGCTTGTAATGTTTATTATTATGGGAAAGAAGAATAATTTGAATGGTGGTAAATTTTAGTTATTATTTGTAGTTCAGGTTTATTTACTTTTGGTGTGCTATTTTTAGTGTTTAAAGTTTATTACTATAAGAAATTTTAACAAAATTTGAACAATGAAGTTAGTGGATATATTTAGTAGTATATTAATATTTCAAATAATTGATTTTTTCGTATTTTCGCATTAATATTTATTATATTTTTTTAAATTATAAAAAACAGTTTTTTTTTTTTTAGAATTATTTTTTTATAATATCAATTATTATTTAAAAAATATTTTTAAAGATTTATTATAATTTTAATCTATTTTCTTTTTAAAATATTTTGTAAATTATATTTAACTTTTTTTATTTATTAATATAATATATATATATATATATATATATATATATATATATATATATATATATATATATATATATATATAATTAAAAATTCTTTTTTTATAAATAAATCATTATATTATATATGAATATATATTATTATATAATAATTATCTTTTTTTTCCTTTCAATTATAAAAAAAAAGCAACAAACATAAATAAATAAATTATATATATAAAAAAAAAGAAAAATAAATTAAAAAAAAAGAAGCAAAAAAATGAATTAAATCTAACACTAAAAACAATTAATATATAAAAAACAAGAAATTGTTCTTAAATAACATTAACCATCCCTAAGTTAATATTCTAAAGACGAATCTCCTTTACCATAATTAATAACATATAACAAACAAAAGAAAAGTTAAAATGAAAATATTAAATAAACTAGAAATTGTGACCGATTATCAAAATTAATAGAAACATTAGATCCCAAAAGTACTCATATATCCTCATATTTAGATTTTGGCTGTGGAAATTGCGAAATATCTGCCCAAATAGCAATGGCATATTCTGTAAAATAAATATTTGGTTGCGATATATATCCTGAATCCTAATACGTACGTCCCGAAGAGCTAAAAATTGATCAAGTTTTCGTGTATCACTAAAACAAAGATTCTAGCCTAAAAATAATTCCCTCTAAAACTATTGAATTGGTAACTTGTTTTATGGTTTTGCATCATTTAGAAAATTTTTAAGAAAGCTTGAAAGAAATTAGCCGTATTATAAAAGAAAACGGCTATTTATATATTAGAGAACACGATGTACATCCAAATAATATTCAATTAAAAAATTATTTAATCGAAATTCATAAATAATATGATGATTGTGGATAATTTACAAGATTTTGGGGAAAAAAGTAGCTCAAAAATGAACTCAAAAAACACGGGTTTGTACATATAAAGGATTCACTTTATAATGATGGAAAAAGTAATCGATAAATGGTTTATCACAGTCTTTTTTAATTCAATAATCAATATAACTCTTCAGATTGTTTTCATGAAGATTAATAATTCGACACTTTTTTTAGAAAATAGAATGATAAATTTAACGGTATTGATAAAAATAAATTTAGTAATAATCCTTTCATTAATAAAAATAATTAGAAAATATAGGTTTGGAGAAATATATAAAATAAATGAATTCTTTCGAATTTAATTTTGTTATTTCTCTTTATTTCATTCTTTCTTTTCTTTTTTTTATTTTAAAAAATAAATAATATATTTATATATAATTTTTTTTTTTTCTCCCTTCTTCTTTTTAAAGGGAGTATTAACACATTTTTTTTATTTTATTTATAAAATTTTATATTATTATTGTTTTTATTTTTTTTCTTTTTAAGATAAATAAATTATATTTATTTTTTTATATATATATATTTATATAAAAAATTCTTTTCAAAAAAAATATTATATTTATAATTTTTTATTTACATTTATATAAAAAATATATTTTTTGATATATTTAAATAATATTTATACTATTTTAATATATTGTTTTTTCTTTTAAAAAATATCCACATATATAAATTTTCTTTTTACATTTATTATTTTTTAAAAAGATATATATTTTAATTTTTCTTTTTTGGTGTAATAAAAAATAAAAACAATTATTTTTTATAACCTTAAGAATATTTATAGAGTATTAAATCTAAAACATAATTTATAATTAAAATTTTTAAATTTAAGTGTAAGGTTTAAAGTCTTTATTTATAATTAATTTACCAAAATTAAAATAATATTTAAATTAATTTATGTTTATAATTAATATAAATTTTTTGCTTTATAAAATATTTCAATTGTTATTTTATAATTTTTTTGTTTATAAAAAAAAGATTAAAACAAAAAAATGAATTAATTAAAATTTATTATTATATTTTTAATATTTATATTTATAAATTAAACATTTCAAAATCTATTAAAAATTTCATTAAAGTAACATGAAAATTAAGAAAATTAATAAGAAACAGTAAAAGAAGAAATAAATCTAAAAACAAATAATTTTGTTTAATAAAAATATTAATAGAATTTAATTAATTATAGTCAAACATAATATATAGGAAGCATTAATATTGGTAAAAATTAAAAAAGATTTGATATTCTTTTTGATACAGGTTCAGATTTACTTTGGTTACCATATTATACTTGTGATTCTTGTAAAAATAGCGTACAAATAATAAAATAAATTATATATTTTAATAAATATAAAGGGTTTTAATAATTTTTATAATTGCCTTAATTTAGATGGATGTGAAAAATCAAAAGATTCTATGATTCTAAAATATGGAAAAGGATAATTATCTGGTGTTTTATCTAAAGCAGTTATATCTTTTGAATAAAGTATATTAATTGATTATTAATTAATCCTTGCTGTTTCAGTTTAAGATTTTAATTATTTTAAAGTATAAAAAAAAAATTATAGATAAATTAATAATATAACAAAAATAGGCTGATGGAATAATAGGAATGGGTTTTAATTAAAATTAAAATTTAGTTGAATTATTATTTTCAACTCCAGAAAATAAAACTTTTACATTTTTCCTTTCTTTTGATAAATCCGATTCAGAATTAGTACTTGGAGGATTTAATCCTTCAAAAATAAAGGAAAATAAATAATTTAGTTATCATAATATACTCTAATAAAAAAATTAAAGATGGGCAATAAGTTTATAAAATATTTAATTCGGATAATATATTATAGCAGATTCAACTAAATAAACTATTACTGCTGTTGTGGATAGTGGAACTTCTTTTGTTATATTTAGTTAATAAATCTTTCAATAATTTATTAATGTTATCAAATAAAAACTAAAATTTATTCAATATACAGTTCAATAAGATTATTTTCTTGTATAATGTGATACTGAATTGCCTGATTTTATATTTTCAGTAAAAGATGTTAATAATAATTTGGTTTAATATATAATTCCTAAAGAGTTCTATTTAATCCCAAGCAATTAAATTTGCTTAATTGGATTTAGTAGTAATACTCCTAAAGACGTTGATGTTATTTTGGGAAATGTTTTTATGAGAAAGTATGTTTCTTAATATTCTTATAATAATTAAACAATTGGTATTTTCTTAATTTTTTATAAATTAATTATTTTTAATGTTTTTTAGGGTTAGCAGAATCTATTAGTATTCCACCTTTTTATAAACCCGGATTCCCAGCTTGGGGTATTTTATTAATTTGTCTAAGTGTGTCATTATGCATATTTGGTGGTATTTATTTGTATAAAAAATTTAAAAATGGAGGATAAAAATAATAATAATAAATTTAGACAGGAAGAGGTGCTAATAGAACACTTTTAAATAATGCATATTGATAATTATATAAAAAATAAGTTTTTTTGTTAAAAAAAATTTTTTCCTTTAAATTTGTTAAAGAAAACATATATAAAATTTTTTATAAAAATATACTATTATTTTAATTTTATAATGATGCAAACATTTTATTTTTTAATAATTTATTAAAATTTTATATTTTATTTTTAAATTATTATTTTTCAAAATTCTTATTTCATTCTTTTTCCTCCTCTTCTTTATTAATTATTATTATTTTAATTTATATTTTCAAAATCTGGCATTTTTCCACTTCCACCTTTTTTTTAAAACAATAAATTAAATAAATAAAAATTAATTACAAGGGCATCCCATTATATCTTTGTCTTTTGCCCAAATACATTAAGAATCATCAGGGCAAGTACAAGAGCTAAAATTAGGATTGCATTCTAACTTTTTTTACGAACAGCCGTTTTTTTTGGCCTAAACTATACATTATTTTCCACTATTCTAAGCTACTTACATACAGGGACATCCCATTATAGGCTTATCCTAAGTCCAAACACATAAACTGCCATTTTAACATTTACATTAACCTAAGTTATCCTTAATTTCTATTTTTTCATTTGTACAACCATAACCTATTATTTGACTCCAAATATCTTTTATATTTTTTTTGAATTAATAGAATTACAAATTAATATTGAAACTACTTTTGTTTTGAGAAAAAACATTAATTATTAAAATAAAAATGAATATTGATACTGAAAATTTTTACATTTTTTTTTATTTTTTATTATTTATTTTTTAAATTTAAAAATAAAATAAATCAATCAATTATTTTATATAATTATAAAAAAACATTATAAAAATATTGATTTGTTTATAATAAAAATAAACTAGTTTTCTTCAACATAAAAAATTTAAGGTTTTTCTTAAGATTTATACATAAAATAGTAAAAATGTTATAAATTATTAATTGTAAAAAACGACATTAATTCCTTATGAATATTTTGTAAATTAAATATTATCAAATTGTTTTTTTGAAAAGCTTTAAAACTTAATTTTATAGAATTCTTTTAAATAAATTCAATAAAATAATATTCGAAAATCAAAAGAAAAGAATAATTATATATATTTTATTTTATTTACTTTATATATATAATTAAGAATATAAATTTATATTATAAATTTTCTTTAAAAATTATTATTTATAATTATTAATTATGCTAAAATTTATATAGATTTAAAATAAATGATATATTTATATATAAGATAATATATAAAAATAAAAAAATAATAGTATTGAATTTTATTATTAATACAAATTTTCAAATAAAAAAAATTAATAAAATATAAAAAAATAATAAAAATTGAAAAAAAAAATTAAATATGAATTTGCATATATTTTATTATTTTAGATAATAAATTAAATAAATAATATAATATTCTATATAAATTAAATAGTTAATATATATAGATTTAAATATATTTAGTATATATATATATTTATATTATTATATATTTATTTTTATATTTAATTATATTATTATATCAAAACTTATTATTATTTTTATTAAATGTAAACAAATTCATAATATTTTCAATTGTAAGATCATTAAATTTCAACCCATTATTAGCAAGATCAAATAGATAATAATCCAATATCTTAATACAATTAAGTAATTAGTTGTTATAATTTAGATTATAATAAATGTGAAGTAACATTAGAAAATACAAAAGTTACCAAATTATATCTATTTATTAACTCTATGATAAAAAAACCCTTAGGCAAATTGATTTTATCAATAATTTTATTATTATTACCATTTCTTAACTTATTATTTTATTATTTTTTATGGAAAGCGTTTATAATATACATGTAATCATATAAAATTTATAAAAGTAATTTATAAAAATTGTAAAATCCATTTTAAAATATGATATTTATGCCTGAAATTTGTGAAAAAATGAATAAAAATTATTATGAATTTGAAATAGGAATACAAAGTAAAATATTTCAAATATAATTAAATTTTATAAATAAAAAAGATTTAAATTCTGAAAATTTTCCTAATTTTCCTCCAAAGATTATAGAAGATTTAAAAGCTAAAAATTTAAATAAATATTAAAGAGTTAAATTTATGGTTTATAATAATACTTTTAAAAATTATTTCTATGAATTTTCTAAATATAAATCTTTTCATATATTTTGGATGATTTATTCGACTATATTATTAATTCTATGTGTAATTATTTTTTATTTTTATTTTAAAAATATTTGTTGACTTTTAATTATCTTAAATATAGTAAAACTAAAAAAATATAATTTTTATTATAAAAACTATTTATGTAGAAAATTTTATAAATATAAATATATATATTTTTCAATTATTTATATTAATATTAAAATTAATTTATATTTAATCAAAAATTAAAATCAAAGTTTTATTTTAATTATATAAATAAAGTAAAAAAATAAATAAATTTCATTTAAAACATTGAATTTAATATAATTTTTATATTAAATACAATTTGTTTATGTATATTTATTTTAATTAATTATAAATATTTATAGTTTAGTATTGATTACAAATATTTATAATAAAATTTATTTTAAAATCTTTTTAACTTAAATATTTATATATATTTTTTTTAATTAAATGTATAAAATATTTATTTTATTACACAAATATCGAGTAAATAATAATTATTATACAAAATTCAATTTTTATATTAATTATCGAAGTTTTATCTTTTATTTTTTTATAAATCAGTTTAATTGACTTAAAAAGTTTTCAAAGTATTTTTAGGAATTATTTAATTATTTATTACTTTGATTAACTTCAAGAATAATCTAAATATTAGTTTAAGATTAATTTATATCAATTATTGCATTGTTAAATACTTTATTTCTATTACTTTCAATATCATTTTCTAATGAACAAAAGTTGAAACCTTAATCTTCATTTTCTGAATATTTTTCTGATTATTTTTCTGAATACTATCTTAAACTTTTTAGGCTTTACTATTCAGTTTAATTGTAAAATTATTTTGAATTTATAGTTTTTATAATTGAAGATGCTTAACTTTGTTTTATTTCAATTATTGCCGATATATCTTCAGGTATATCTAATTTTATCATTTTTATTACTTTTTTTTATTTAATTTTAATTTAATATATACTTATTTATTATTCTTTTTACTCTATGCTTTTGCAGATTATACATTATCCCATTTTTATTTTTTATTCTATTTTTAAAAATAAACTATATTATAATACAAATAATTACTTAAAAAATAAAATTATAATATAAAGTATAAATTGTTTAAAATTAATATAAAAGTTATATATTAAATTAAAAATTAATAAAATAATTTATTATTTTTGTTTTTAATAAAATTATTTTGTTATTATTTGTTAATAATAATAATAATGTTAATAATTTTAAATTTGATAAATAATAACAATATTTTTTAAATAAGTAAATAATAATAAATAAAAATTAAATAAAAGATTATTAACAATATATTATTATTATTTAAATAAATATATTATGTTTTTATACTTAACTTTAATATATATTTAAGTTTTTGTATTTTCAAATATATATGCTTTTATAAAAAAAATATATTTATCTACTTATTGAAAAAAAAATTTAATTATATATTAATCTTATTTCAAATTGATAAATTAATAAATTAATTTTGATTATAAAATTTATATTAACTTTTTGAAAATAAATTAAAAAAAATAGCATAATAAATAATAACAGTAAAATAATTATATATACAAATGTATAAAATAAATAATTACTTTAAAATCTAAAATAGTTACTACTATTATTTTTTTAAATTAATTTTTTGATATTTAAAATAAATTATTTATTAATATCAATATATTTTATAATAATATCTGTTAAATAATTGACTATAACAATATAATTAATTAATTTGTACATCTTTATAATAATTTCTTTATTTTTATTTCAGTTTATTATAACAGGATAAATAAAATATAATTAAACTATTTCTTTTAGTTTAATAAATATAATATTTTTAAAGTAAAATTATTTCAGATATTTTTTTATAACAAAAAATACATTTTTAGTGCAATTATTATTTTTAAATTTTTTAATATATAAATTAATACTTTATTATTTATATTTGCATTTTTTTTTTATAATTTTATTCATGTTGACCATCAAAATAATTTTATATTTTATGTGGTAATAAATTTAAATTTTCTTTTTTTTTTTACTAAATAAGAGATTTTTAAAAAAATTATAGAAAATTATATTTTAATTTTGCTTTCATATTAATTTAAAAATTTATACTAATTTATATATTATAAAATTAAATAAAAGGCATTATAAATTATTATAAACACAATAAGATGAATAATATAATAATAATAAAAAAAAAATCTACTAAGTAAATTAAAAATTAAATTTTAATATATAGTTACAAATTATTTAAAAATAAAATTAATATTTAGATTTTTTAAATTTTTATTATTAAATAATCCTTTTTCTTTTTTAAACGAGAAAATATTTATTATAAAAATTAACATTTAAAATCAATATAAAAGTAATATTTTTATATTAAAATAACTAATTAATAATTTATAAATTAAATATGTCTTATGTCATAATTTATTTATAAAATTTTCTAAAATATTTATTAAAACATAGAAATAAAATATAAATTTATTTATTTATTTCTATTTTTTTTTTAAAAAAAAATACGTAATATTATTAGATATTTAAATGTTTAAATACACAAAAGTATTAATGAAATAACTTAAAAAAATATATATTATAAATTATAATATGTTTTTTATGTAGATTAATTTATTATTTTAAAAATCTTTATTTTTAAATAATATTTAGAAAATACATAAAATAATTATAATTATAATTTTGTTAAAAAAATAAAAAATGAAGCTTAATAAAAAATAATTAGCATTTTTCGGCCTATCATTTGTATTATTTAGCTTAATAGTATCCATAACTATCTATTTAGTGCTATAAAAAAACTAATAATAAATTCTTATTGTAAATATATACATCTATTTATTCTTTTATTAAATAAAATCTAGGCAAATTAAGACGATAATTTATTTTTTATAAAAAGATAGCTTTCAAACAGTTATTATTATGAAGTAATTTTAAAAAATTAACAAATTAATAATTACTAAGACAATTAATACACTAAAACAGTAGAAGTCCATAAATATAAAATATCTTTTTCTTGTTTAAATATAAAAGAAGAATGTAATTTTTTAAAAATTTAAAACTTATTTTATTAATTTTCTTTAAATATAAAATAGATTTCTAATATGCAATTTATTTCTAATAAGACACTTAAGTATACCAAGAAGATAAACCTGAAGAAATAACAATAATATAAGGTATTGATTCTATTTTAAATGAAATTTAAAATCTTTATCAAAATTATAATTAATAAACATAAAATAATAAGTTTGAGTAATTAGATTTATAAAAAGACTACTAAACTCAAAAACTATAACTTATAAACTAAATTCCAATAATTTAATTCAAAACATTAAAAGTAAATTTATATATTTTTTAATTAATAAAAAAATGTTAATTAATTTTATTTTAATAAAAAACAGAATGGATAACCTACTGAAATATTAATGTCTGAAAATATAAATAATATTTATAAAAAATCTATATCGAAAATTATTGAAAGTTTATCTCCTTTACTTAAGAAATAATATTATGATTATCAAATTGGTGAAGTTTAAAGCTAATAAAAATCAGAAGAATACAAAGAAACTAATTACTTCGGAGAATATACTAAAGAAATGAGTGCCTTATCTGAAAATGGAAATACTGTAATTTAATAAAATTACACATAAAAAACAACTTAAAAAGCAGACTAAAGTACTTAGTATTAGCAAAGTTTTACAATTGATGATGAAGGAAATGTAATAAAAAGTATTATTAAGTCTTAATTTATATTAAATAATGAATTTAATTAATAATCGCAAGGTTACTATTCTGAATCAAGCGCATTAAAAAATATTGTATTAATATAAAATTTAGAATTAAACTTAGTGAAGAAAACTTAAAATACTTTTTAAGAATAGAAAAACAAATTATTGCAAGAAATATAAGATGAATTAAATAATTAGTCATTTATTAATTGGAAATAATTTTTGAATTAATTAAATAAAGTAAATGATAAAGATGATAAATAATTTTTTAAAAATAGAAATCTTTAATCAAATTAAAAAGCTTATCTTTATTAAAAAAAAGAAACATAAATCTTTTAATAAAAAATCTTGGGAATAGATGTTAAAGGTACTTTAGAACATGAATGTTACTAATAAAATTTAAATATAGCCTGCTAAATTTAATTCTTTATCATTACTTCATAAGGAAAAACACCTATTACTGATGCTTATCCATGTAATAAAAAATTAAAAAATTATTATTATTTTTAATAAAAGTAGTATGTAGTTTTGCAAATATGAAAAATAATTCTCCTTTATAACAATGTATATTTTAATTTTTTGTTTTTTTTAATTTATTTATATAGTGAGTGAAAATTAGAAATTTGACTTTAGTTTCCCTACTCCTTTTAATATTTCTATTGATGTTTCATTAAATTATAAATTTAGGTTTGATATAGTTTAAATTTGCTAAAATCTTCCTAATTTATAAATGGGATTTAAATTAAATTCTGACTTATAATTATCAGCAGCTGGGTTGCTTGATTTACAAAGCTTCAGAATAGGAATCTTTTTAGATGGAAAAGTATATAATTTATAAGGAGAAGTTTATTTATAAGTCTTATAATTACAAACAGTATTTTTTAAAAAAAAATTAAATTTATTTTTATTAAAAGCTAAAAACTCAAGCTAAAGGTGCAATCGTGATATCATTAAATTATGATTAAGTCAAATTTAATTTTGGATTATATTATTAATAAAGAAAAATTATCTTAACAAAGGCTTGTAAACAGTGTCTAATTAATACTGAATATAAATGGGGATAATAAATGAAACTATGGGATGTTGAAGTAAAATCGAAAAATGGATCATATATTTAATAGTATTCATTTTGATATATATATAGTTATATTTTTATTTATAAAATAATTATTTATTTTAAATACTAAATATTTTATAAATAATTATATATTTAATTAATTTTATTATATATTATAATTTATTTATAAAATAAATATTTTAAAAATAAAATAAAAATATATTTACTGTAATATATTTTCATATCAAAAAGCATTATAAACTTTATACTTTATTTATTCATTTTTATTTTCTATAAATTAGTTTTTTTATAGTATAAAAAGTCAGTATTAATAAAAAATAATTTTATTAAAATTATGTTTATTAATATAATATAAAAAATATTTTTACGGATTATAATTTATTAAATATGAATTGTGTTTGTTTTTGGGATAGCCTTGGCTGCTGATTAAGTATTAAATTATGAATTTTTGAATACAAAATAATTATTATTATTTGGAAAACTTTTAAATATTAAATTTATTAAATAAAATTATTTAAAAATAAATCCATATATTTTTAATAAAAACTTATTTTGATAATTTTATAAGAAAAATAGCTAAATTAAGAAAGTATTCTTATATTTTTTTTTAAAAGGAATTTATAGAAATTCTACTATTATAATAGCTTATTTAAATAAAAGGCATTATATATGCTTTTAGTAAGCAAATTAAAGATTTACAAAATAATTATAAATATATATATGAATAGGAGTTAAATAATAATATTAATAATAAGCAAAATGAAAATAAGTAATAATTGAAAATATAAATTATTTTACAGTTTAAATTCTTAACATATACTTATAAATCTGAATAAATAAATAAAAATTTAAATTAAATTTACTAATAAAATTAAAAATACAGATAAACAAATATATAAAATATTTATAAAAACTAGTAAGTTCTAACTTTATTTTTTAAACTTTAAGACGTTTTTATAATTTAATATGTTTTTTTATTTATTAGTTTCTTATTTTTAATATTTTAGGAATTATTTCAAATGCCCAATATATGCTTCAATTTTAACTTTGAATTTCAAAAATGAATTTATATGATATTTTTGGTTATTTTCTATAACAGTAAAATTGTTTTCATAATCATATCCAAACTAATTATATAATCTGCTCAATTATTGTAATTAAACTCTACAATCAGTTAAAATGGATAAAAAAACAGTCAATAAATACAATTTTACAAAAAATTTCAAATAGAAAATGTTTAATTTAAAATTTATCAAATACCTTTGAAGTTAAATTAATATAACATTATGTTCTTGCAAAATAGTCTATTTAAGATAATTAAATAGGTTAACTTAAATTTTGTTTTTAAAATTTTTTTGATAATTTTTCCCTTTTTAATTTTTAACTTATTTACTTAAAGTATTTTAAATTTTCACTAATTAAATTAGTATAAAATATTAATTTAAAACTTATTCTTGAATTTTATATTAAAAGTAAAATAGTTTAAAAATATTAATATTTTAATAATTATTTTTTTAAAAATCAAAATTTATTTATTAAAACAATAAAATTAGAGGTAAAAATTAATAAAAAAATAGATATTATTAATATTAAAAATTTAACAATAATATTATAGTTTAATTTATTATGAACGATATATTTATAAGAACGGAATTTCCTAATAAAATAATTGAAATAGAAAATTAATTTATTTAACTAAAAGATGGTTGTAAATTAGCTGCTAGACTATGGATGCCATCTGATTATGAATATAACATATACCCAGCCGTATTAGAATATTTACCATACAGAAAAAGAGATGGAACTATTTACAGAGATGAATTAACACATCCTTATTTAGCTTCACATGGGTATGCTTGCATAAGAGTTGATATGAGAGGAAGTGGAGAATCTGAAGGAATACTAGAGTATTTAAATAAAAAATATAAGTTTTAATTTTATTAAGGGACGAATATTTGCCATAAGAATAAGAAGATGGTATAGAGATAATTAATTGGATTTCTATTTAAAAATGGTGTGATGGAAATGTAGGTATGATGGGTATTTCATGGGGAGGATTTAATGCCTTATAAATTGCTTTTTATAATCCTAAACCTTTAAAAGCTATTGTATCTATAGATTCTACTGATGATAGATATGAAGACGATATCCATTATAAAGGAGGTTTATATATATATATATTATTTTTATTTATAACTTTATATATAAGGATGCTTATTAAATGATAATAATTATTGGGCATTTATCATGTTAGCATATTCTTCAAGGCCTCCAGATCCATTATTATTGCCTTAAAATTGGAAAGATATATGGAAAGAAAGGTTATAAAATAACCCTTTATTAATAGAAACATGGTTAAATCATTAATATAAAGATGATTATTGGAAGCATGGGTCAATATGTGAAAATTACGATAATATAAAATGTGCTGTTTATCTTGTAGGTGGTTGGAAGGATTCATATTTTAATACTGTGTTTAGAATGCTTTAAAATTTAAAATGTTGCCCAAAAAAAGCACTAATAGGACCATGGAATCATAAATATCCGCATTTCGCAAAACCTGGTCCTAGAATAGGGTTTTTATAGGAAGTTTTACGATGGTGGGATTAATGGTTAAAAAAAAAAGATACAAATATTACAAAAGAGCCATTATGTACAGTATATTTATAAGAATATTAAAGACCTTAAGGTTATTATGAAAATATACCAGGAGAATGGATATTAGAAAATGAATGGCCGTCATAAAATATATATTAAAAAATATATTATTTAAATAACTCTAATAAATTATAAGATTAAGAATTATAGAGTGAATAGTTTATTTAGATAAATACTTTATAAAATAATGGTTTGTATTGCGGAGAGTTTTGTGCATGGGGTGACGGTGAAAGACATCCTTTGAATTAAATTATTGATGATAGTAAAAGTGTTTTATTTGATGGTGATGTTTTGTAATAAGATTTTGTTGTTTTTGGGTAACCTATACTTAAAGTGAGCTTAAAATCAAATAAAAATAAAGCTTATTTAATTATAAGATTATGTGAAGTAAGCTAATAAGGCAATAAATAAGAATCAACTAGAATTAGCTATGGATTATTAAATTTAACACATTATAAAAGCAATTAATAACCTGAATATTTAGAAATAGATTAAACATATGAAATTTAAATTAAATTAAATAATATTGCTCATAAATTTTAAAAGGGCAATTTTATAAGAGTTGCATTATCAACAACGTATTGGCCTCTAGTATGGCCTTTAGCAGAAAATCCAATTTTAACTATAAATTTAAATGACAGTAAATTGTTTTTACCTTAAAGAACTATATTACAAGGATAAAAATAAAATAAATTTTAATAACCTGAAATATCAAAGCCTTTAGAAATTATATGTAAAATTATATATATAAAATATACA